CCTGCCGTAGATGCCCTCGGTGATCCGATTCCGCTTTAGGGGGCGGCGGAGCTTACTGCAGTCGGCGTTCCGCCGCTTCATCCTCCCGCTGGGGGGCCGGGTGCCCGCGCCGCCTCCGCCGCCGTCTCTCACCTCAGCCGCCGCCGCCGCCGCCGGCCCGCCCCGCGTCGGGCCTGGACTCTACCCCTGGGGCCGGTCACACAGACATGGAGCCAGCACCCGGGGGGGAGGGGGTGGGACGCGGAGGGGGGGCTCAGAGCCTCCTCCGCCTTCGGAAACAAAGAAATGACAATTCCGGGGCCCGCCCGCCCCAGCACCAGCCAGCCGCCTGCCCCGCCTCCTCGGCTCCGACGGACGGCCCCCGAGGCCAATCGAAGGCGTCGCTACGCCGCTGCCGGCCAATCCAAGGGCCCGCTGAGGCACAACGGACTCGAGAACCCGCCTCTTTGAAGGACAGAAGAATGCGCCAATCATTATAGTGTCTGTGTGCGTGCCTGGGCCTATCAGAAAAGATTTAAATAGAGGCTTATAAATAGGCCCTATAAATATAACATCCTATATTATGCCTTATTGCGAAGGCACACTTCATGACTGTTGGATTGCGTTTCATTGTATTATAATCCATGCTAGAGCATACCGTGCTATATTCATTGCCCGCTATCACTAGCACCGTATGAAATCGGGAGGCCTGGGTTTGCGGCATGTGCTGTTTTCTGCGCTGACATGTGCCCCAGTCAGTCGCGTCATTATGTAAGGGGTTCGCAGCATCCTCCCCCTCCGGGAGCCTCCGGGGTCAGCGCCGGGGGCCCTTTCTGCGGATCCTGGAGCGTTCGGCCAGGCCGGCCGCGTCAGCGCGCGACGGGGGTACGAATGACAAAGCAAACCCCACACACACATACACGCACACACCCTGCCAGCTCCCGGCGACGTGGTGACAGCGCGGCGGCCAATCGGAGGAGGCGCGGGGCGGGGATGCTACGGTCCCGCCCCCTGGGGGGCGCGTCACAGGGGGCGGGGCCGTGGGTGCGCGCGACGTCGAGCTGGGCTGCCGGGGGTGTGTAGGGCGGTGCGACCCTCTCTCCACGTCTGCAGGACGGGCTGTGCGGATGGCTCTGCGAGCACCGCGCCTGCTGCACACGGCGAGCGTTAGCGTCGGGGACGTGTCAGTGCTGTGCGAGGGGTCGATGCCGCGGGGACTAAGGGGAGGCTGCTCGGCGGCGAGGGCCGGGCTTTTCAGATGTTGGGACACCGGCCAGCGACCCCTCTCACCGGACCCTCCTAGAGCGCCGATTTTGTGCCAGGCACCGTGCTGAGTGCTTTGCATCTACTTGTCATTTACTCCTCATTAATTCCTTGCAACGTAGGTCTGGCAAAATCACATTAGAAAAGACAGCAAAGATTCTTTTAAAAAGAATGTCATTAATGAAAACTGGGAAGCTGTCAAAAAGTAGCTGAAGGGAGAAGAAACACCCATGGATCTCATCACCTTAACACGACCACTATTAGCACTCTAAATTTTTTCTTTCTTTCCTATTTTCCCCCATGGGTGATATCATTATTACTATTACTGCTATTATTACTGAAGAGTTGTGATCATACTAGATATTCAGCTTTGTATTCTGTTCTTTTGTGTGTGTATGTGTGAGTAAATTGATAGAAGTTTACTAAGTGAAGATACAGAAAAAGCTCTCAAAAGTGAGAGGGGTCCCGACAGGGTTGCCACTGAAGGCCTTTAGGGTTGGTCTTTTTGTATTCTGTTCTTTAATGTAAACATTGTCCCATGTTATTATGCATCCTCCCTAAATATTTCTGATGGCTGCTGAATCTCCTATCACGTGGCCATACCAACTTAACCACACACTAACAGTGGGACTGTGAGGTGGTCTTCCAGCACATTTTAAAAACTTCCAGGAAGTAGATGGTATCTGGTTTTGTCCTGAGTTGGGTGGACCTCTTCCTGCCCTGTAATCACCCCCTTAATCAACACCTACCCCAAGGAGGAACTTGTAATTTGTATCAAAGTCATCATTCTCATCTGCTGTTCTTCGTTATTTTATCCTGCTCACAAATCTTTAAAGATCCTCCAATGCCTGAAAGCCGTTCTCTTTGTTATGGCATCCAGAGCTGTCACACTGGAGACCCACTCTCCTTTTCCAGGCCTACCCAGGCCAGCAAGCCTTATCTACTCACTGTCCTAAAACCCACTGCAACCTTATCTTCCCTATAGCTGTGATGCTATAGGCCAAACCTGGGGCCTAGAGATGGTTATTAATGACTAGGTTTATTGATCTGGTGATGGGCTGGAGTAGGATGACAGGAATTGTCCCCTTGCCAAGAGCCCACAGTAAGACTGCCCTTCTCCATTCCCTCCTTCTGCCCCAGCCAGACCATCTCTTTTCCTGGGCCGCCCTAGCCCAAGCTCCTTTGGGCTCTAGTCAAGTGCCAGCCTTTCCCCTCTGAGCCCTCAGATGGCTCTTTGGGACCCTAAGGGCACAGGCCTGGGCAGAGGTGGGGTAGCCTCCTGCCTGCCACAGAGCCCCCCAAGCTCCCCATACCTGCACCATCAGTCAGGAACCAGGGGAGAGCAGTGGCCATTTTACAGATGAGTAAGACAGGGAAGGGAAATCATCTGTTCGTATTCAAAAGACCAAGGCCCAGCCAAGAATTCAGGGTTGTCCCTCCTCTTCTCCTGGGACGTTCAATGGGCAAGGGGTTGAGATTTGTCCTTGAGCTTCACCTGAGCTCAGAATAGCTCAGAAGAGCCTGGAGAGTGATCATCACATCCCATTTCACAAATAAGAAAACTGCATCCCCCCCTCTTTCAGTAGCTTCAAATCCCCTCAAGCCCTCGAGTCAGCTGCCCAGCTGCCTTGAACTTGGTTCCCATGCCACAGGAGTCACCGAAAAGTCTGGACGCTGGGGTGGCCACCTCTTATACACGTATCTGTGTCCCCCAGAGAACCCTGTTAATGGAGGATATTCATTGTAATGTTTAGAACAGAAACAGTTTAGAAATAACCCAGATAATCCTCAAAGGGGGCTGGTCAAACATGGTCACACATTCTTACCACGGAAGTCATGTGGCATGGAGAATGGTGACACGTAGCACTTACCACGTACAGTCACTGCTCTAAGCACCATATGCACTTTGATCTCAACCTCACAACAACCCTATGAGGTAGAGATGTTACTGGTGCCATATTAAAGACGAGAAAACTAGCCCAGAGCAACTCAGTTCTTTGCCTAAGGTCGCACAGTAAGTGATAGAGCCCGGATTCAAACTCAGAAATTCTGACATCAGAGCCTGGGTTCTTAGCCACCCTGATAGAATGTTGTAGAAAGATATTCCAGGCTTGGAAATGACTTAGGATATACTGTTCACGGAAACAGCAATTACTCATTTTTGTAGGGGAGAAAACAAGGCCTAAATTCACATGAATAGGAAAAAAAATCTGAAAAATATACAAAAAGAAGAAGAACTGGTTTTTGGAGATATGGAAATCATGGGTGCTTTATGTAAACTTTATGCACGTCTGCATTTTCAGAGTTTTCTACAGTAAATATACCAACCCTGTGCAATAATAATTACTAACATTTATGGAGGATTTTCTACACATCTGACACTTACATGCACTTCCTCATTTACTCTTCATGACCGGGGTTCTCTGGGTGGCTCAGTGGGTTAGGTGTCTGACTCTTGATTTTGGCTCAGATCATGATCTCGTGGGTTGTGGGATCAAGCCCCACATTAGGCTCTGCACTGGTGGGGAGTCTGCTTGAAGATTCTCTCCCTCTGCCCTCCCTCCACTTGCATGCACTCTCTCTCTCAAATAAATAAATCTTAAAAAAAAAATCTTCACAACCACTCTATGAGATTGACACTGATTTTCCCTACTTTACAGATGAGGAAATAGATATTGATCATCATACCCAAGTTCACACAGCCAGTAATTTGTGGAGTCAGGATTTGAACCCAGATTGCCTGACTCCCAAGCTCATGTTTGTTGAATGAATGAACGAATGAATGAATGATTGACTTAACCACAGTTTACCCAGGCGTGCCCAGAGCAGGATCACACCCTTGGTATGGACAAACTTCCAGAGAGGGAATGGAGGACTTACCTACGTCCTTGCTTGCTGCCCATGACTGAACTTTACAATGCCCGATGTGGACGGTATGGTGAGTATTCTTATGGAGTCCTGTTTTTACAGAAAATGCACGATTACATGTGAATTCTGTAGTCTCTCTGACTTGATTCGTCACACCTGGAGGAAGCCTGGTCACTTAGATCAGAACGTCACAGGCATGGCACCACTTGCCCACTTTCCTTTCTATAACCCAGCCGCCACTCACGCTTATGTATTCATTCTCACATTTGTAATAATTCTGTGAGGAAAGTAGAGCAGCTCATCTTATTTGACTCATTAAGGAAGCTGAGGCTGTGAGTGGTTTACTAAATGGAAGGCAGAATTGCAAAGTAGTTGACAGCATAAGCCGTGGCGTCAGAGGGATGTGGGATGGGTCCCACCCCTAGCATTTATTAGCTGTGTGATGTTGAGCGCTCACATCACCTCTCTGAGTAGCAGCTTCCTCATCTGTAAGACAGGATGACTGCGCCTGTACTCACAGGCTTGAGGGGAAAAGTAGATGGAATAATGTATGCAAAATGCTTGGTCCAGTGCTTGGCATTCCGGAAATGGCAGTTGTTATTTATTCAACAAATATTTAGGGGCACCTGGGGGGCTCTGTTGGCTAAGCATCTGCCTTCGGCTCAGGTCATGATCTCATGGGTCCTGGGATTGAGCACTGCGTCGGGCTCCCGGCTCAGCGGGGAGTCTTCTTCTCCCTCTCCCTCTGTGCACTTTCTCTCTCTCTCTCAAATAAATAAATAAAATCTTTCAAAAAACCAAAAATTTATTGATCACCTCTTATGGATGAGCAGTAGGTGCTGAGATACAACAATCAGAAGTCCCTGTGCTTGGCTCTGAGGCGGAGAGGGCAGGGGCAGTTTTCTGACAGGAGGAGGCTTTTAGGCAGAGGGAGAAGCAGGTGCACACAGTGCTTTCCCCAGCATTTTATCATGAAAAGTTTCTAACAGACGCCAATGAAGTTGAAAGAATTATACAGTGAAAAGCCCTTTACCTCCCGCGTAGACTCAACAATGAA